GGGAGTGGACAGTGAGTGTGGGCAGTGGGTATGGTGTGTGAGGTGAGTGTGGGCAGTGAGTGTGGGCAGTGAGTGTGGGCAGTGGGTATGGTGTGTGAGGTGAGTGTGGGCAGTGAGTGTGGGCAGTGGGTATGGTGTGTGAGGTGAGTGTGGGCAGTGAGTGTGGGCAGTGGGTATGGTGTGTGAGGTGAGTGTGGGCAGTGAGTGTGGGCAGTGGGTATGGTGTGTGAGGTGAGTGTGGGCAGTGAGTGTGGGGAGTGAGTGTGGGCAGTGAGTGTGGGCAGTGGGTATGGTGTGTGAGGTGAGTGTGGGCAGTGAGTGTGGGCAGTGAGTGTGGGCAGTGGGTATGGTGTGTGAGGTGAGTGTGGGCAGTGAGTGTGGGCAGTGGGTATGGTGTGTGAGGTGAGTGTGGGCAGTGAGTGTGGGCAGTGGGTATGGTGTGTGAGGTGAGTGTGGGCAGTGAGTGTGGGCAGTGGGTATGGTGTGTGAGGTGAGTGTGGGCAGTGAGTGTGGGCAGTGAGTGTGGGCAGTGGGTATGGTGTGTGAGGTGAGTGTGGGCAGTGAGTGTGGGCAGTGGGTATGGTGTGTGAGGTGAGTGTGGGCAGTGAGTGTGGGCAGTGGGTATGGTGTGTGAGGTGAGTGTGGGCAGTGAGTGTGGGCAGTGGGTATGGTGTGTGAGGTGAGTGTGGGCAGTGAGTGTGGGCAGTGGGTATGGTGTGTGAGGTGAGTGTGGGCAGTGAGTGTGGGCAGTGGGTATGGTGTGTGAGGTGAGTGTGGGCAGTGAGTGTGGGCAGTGAGTGTGGGCAGTGGGTATGGTGTGTGAGGTGAGTGTGGGCAGTGAGTGTGGGCAGTGGGTATGGTGTGTGAGGTGAGTGTGGGCAGTGAGTGTGGGCAGTGTGAGTGTGGGCAGTGAGTGTGGGCAGTGGGTATGGTGTGTGAGGTGAGTGTGGGCAGTGAGTGTGGGCAGTGAGTGTGGGGCAGTGAGTGTGGGCAGTGAGTGTGGGCAGTGAGTGTGGGGCAGTGAGTGTGGGCAGTGAGTGTGGGCAGTGGGTATGGTGTGTGAGGTGAGTGTGGGCAGTGAGTGTGGGCAGTGAGTGTGGGGCAGTGAGTGTGGGCAGTGAGTGTGGGCAGTGAGTGTGGGGCAGTGAGTGTGGGCAGTGAGTGTGGGCAGTGAGTGTGGGCAGTGAGTGTGGGGCAGTAAGTGTGGGCAGTGAGTGTGGGCAGTGAGTGTGGGGCAGTAAGTGTGGGCAGTGAGTGTGGGCAGTGAGTGTGGGGCAGTGAGTGTGGGCAGTGAGTGTGGGCAGTGGGTATGGTGTGTGAGGTGAGTGTGGGCAGTGAGTGTGGGCAGTGAGTGTGGGCAGTGGGAGTGGGCAGTGAGTGTGGGGCAGTAAGTGTGGGCAGTGAGTGTGGGCAGTGAGTGTGGGGCAGTGAGTGTGGGCAGTGAGTGTGGGCAGTGGGTATGGTGTGTGAGGTGAGTGTGGGCAGTGAGTGTGGGCAGTGAGTGTGGGCAGTGAGTGTGTGAGGTGAGTGTGGGCAGTGAGTGTGGGCAGTGAGTGTGGGCAGTGAGTGTGTGAGGTGAGTGTGGGCAGTGAGTGTGGGCAGTGAGTGTGGGCAGTGAGTGTGGGCAGTGAGTGTGTGAGGTGAGTGTGGGCAGTGAGTGTGGGCAGTGGGAGTGGACTGTGGGATCTTGGTGCCGGCATGGCCGACATGAGGGGCGTCGCGATAGGGGGGTGGGGGGCAACATCGAAGTCTTATCTTGCCTCTTTATAGCTAGTTGCTAAATTCTCAGTGCCGAAAAAACGCAAAAAGGTAAATACGTTAAGTTATAAATTGTTAGGTCTTTTGTTAATCTGCGAGGGACTGTATTTCCTATGCGCAAAATCCTTTCGGGTGTTTTTAGTGATTAAGCCAAATTAACCAAATGCACACCGACACATTACATACATATACACGCAAACAGAGATACAATTACGCACAACCACCATTCACCACTAAGTGGCGGTGATGTCATCACGGCGCTGGTGCCAGGATAGGTGCACTTTGGGGCCAAGTGAAGTGTCAAGGCTCGCTGACAGATCACGTGACAGACTCAGGTACCATGGGTTGCCTGAAATGACTAACGGATGCGCTGTCTCCCTCCTCTGCCATCTTTCTGCGTTTTAATTGCCCGACACTCCGCCCTCTGTTGTTGCTGGAGGAAGACTGCCTCCTCCATAGAGGTCGATCTTGACTCCACTGGTACAAGTCTTCAGCAAGTCCATTCGGCTCCACATTCTCCTGTACTTTAACAGCCCATGTCCTCTCCAGCTCGCGTCACGCCCCTTTAGCACCCTCTAACCGATCAAACAAATCCTGCTTGAACATGCGGTGGCTGGCCATGCGGGCTACATGAACCAGGCAACGCAGCCTTGCTTGCCGGAGGAGCTCACTGATGGGACTGTGGCCAGATCTTACAAGGATCTGAGCCCCTCACACAATCCAGTCAGGTTAAACTCAGGATGGATCGTGGGCAAGTCATCCTGAATGTTTCAAACCGACGTTGATGTTCCTTCAAAAGGGTCCACGTTTCGCAAACACAAAGAAGGAAGGGCATAACTGTGGCTGAGAGGACCTGGAGCTTTGTATGGAGCGATAGCCCAGGTAGCTTCCACACATTACACAGCTGGTGCAAAGATAACGCCACTCGACTGATTCAGCTCCATACAAAAATGAGGCTGGTCATAAGCACACTGCCCAGATATGAAAACTGCTATTTTCTTTCCACAACTGCCCCAGACATATACATGTAGATGTATACACATGTAGAGATGCATGCATGCATGCACACTGATACATACAGAGGGAAAAAAATATTTGATCCCCTGCTGATTTTGTACGTTTGCCCACTGACAAAGAAATGATCAGTCTATAATTTTAATGGTAGGTTTATTTGAACAGTGAGAGACAGAATAACAACAAAATCCAGAAAAACGCATGTCAAAAATGTTATAAATTGATTGGCATTTTAATGAGGGAAATAAGTATTTGACCCCTCTGCAAAACATGACTTAGTACTTGGTGGTAATACCCTTGTTGGCAATCACAGAGGTCAGACGTTTCTTGTAGTTGGCCACCAGGTTTGCCCACATCTCAGGAGGGATTTTGTCCCACTCCTCTTTGTAGATCTTCTCCAAGTCATTAAGGTTTCGAGGCTGACGTTTGGTAACTCGAACCTTCAGCTCCCTCCACAGATTTTCTATGGGATTAAGATCTGGAGACTGGCCAGGCCAATCCAGGACCTAAATGTGCTTCTTCTTGAGCCACTCCTTTGTTGCCTTGGCCGTGTGTTTTGGGTCATTGTCATGCTGGAATACCCATCCACGACCTATTTTCAATGCCCTGGCTGAGGGAAGAAGGTTCTCATCCAAGATTTGACGGTACATGGCCCCGTCCATCGTCCCTATGATGCGGTGAAGTTGTCCTGTCTCCTTAGCAGAAAAACACCCCCAAAGCATGTTTCCACCTCCATGTTTGACGGTGGGGATGTTCTTGGGATCATAGGCAGCATTCCTCCTCCTCCAAACACGGCAAGCCGAGTTGATGCCAAAGAGCTCCATATTGGTCTCATCTGACCACAACACTTTCACCCAGTTGTCCTCCGAATCATTCAGATGTTCATTGGCAAACTTCAGACGGGCATGTATATTTGCTTTATTGAGCAGGGGGATCTTGCGGGCGCTGCAGGATTTCAGTCCTTCACGGCATAGTGTGTTACCAACTGTTTTCTTGGTGACTATGGTCCCAGCTGCCTTGAGATCATTGACAAGATCCTCCCGTGTAGTTCTGGGCTGATTCCTCACCGTTCTCATGGCCATTGCCACTCCACGAGGTGAGCTCTTGCATGGAGCCCCAGGCCGAGGGAGATTGCCAGTTCTTTTGTGTTTCTTCCATTTGCGAATAATCACACCAACTGTTGTCACCTTCTCACCAAGCTGCTAGGCGATGGTCTTGTAGCCCATTCCAGCCTTGTTTAGGTCTACAATCTTGTCCCCGACATCCTTGGAGAGCTCTTTGGTCTTGGCCATGGTGGAGAGTTTGGAATCTGATTGATTGATTGCTTCTGTGAACAGGTGTCTTTTATACAGGTAACAAGCTGAGATTAGGAGCACTCCCTTTAAAAGTGTTCTCCTAATCTCAGCTCGTTACCTGTATAAAAGACACCTGGGAGCCAGAAATCTTTGATTGAAAGGGGGTCGAATACTTATTTCCCTCATTAAAATGCAAATCAATTTATAACATTTTTGACATGCGTTTTTCTGGATTTTTTTGTTGTTATTCTGTCTCGCACTGTTCAAATAAACCTACCATTAAAATTATAGACTGATCATTTCTTTGTCAGTGGGCAAACGTACAAAATCAGCAGGGGATCAAATACTTTTTTCCCTCACTGTACATGTAGATGTATAAACATATAGAGATGCATGCATGCACACTGATACATACACGCACATACATATGCACACACACATGACGAAGATCTCCCATTTAGCCTTAAAGAGACTGTCGGATAAGCGCTGTTATCGCACGGAATTTTTTTAAACACCAATCAGGTAAAATTTGTAACATCCAAAATATAGCGCATCACAAACTGTTCAAATCGAATCCCTCATATCGCACTCTCGTATAAGTGTACAACTAACACAAGTAACTAATGGTTTTGGTTACCTTGACAAAAAAAAACGAAAAAAAAATGGGATGAACCTGACATATTCAACAAGTGCAATTTCTTCGCCCTTTTAGAATTTAGCAACAGGCTGAGGGCGGGGAGAGCATATCCCCAAAGGCCTGTGACCCAGGGTGTGGGCGGGGTGGAGTGTGGGGTGGCAGCAGCACGGGGTGTGTGGGTGGCACACACGTGCGTGCGCAGGGGGATGAGACACGAGACGGTGCCTCGCCCAGGGTGCCATCTCTGGATGACACCCCCGAGTCCCTGGCGTAGAACAGTCACTGCCACACAGAGAAACCTTGCTGAGGCCCAACCGGGCAGAACTGTTAATAAACTCGCTCAGGTACACATATGTTGCTGAAGGTCATGCGGCGAAGACGATCAGACACACAGTTACCCTCGCTCCAAAACAACAATCTCCAATACCCATCGAACAAAGACGGCCACTGCATCGCGTGGCGCTTTCAGATGCGCTTCTGTGGCCGATATTAGGAAGCCACTGGAGCTATGCACTTTTAAATCATCTAGATTTAAAACTCGTGTTTTTATAACTGCTTTTTGTGATTAGTTTGTTGGCCTTGCCCTGCACCTTCAATTAGTACGGTTGGCTACGTATGGTGCGAAAGAAGTTCAACATACATACAAGACCCCTCCAGTTAAAGAGCCCTCAATCTCACCTCCCCGCCAGAACGTTCCACACATTACCCCTACTCAGTACTCACCCCCCCCCCCCCACTCAGTGCCGAGGCGGGGTCAATCATGCCCACGGTGGACGACACAGGTACCATCGCCACCGAGACTTTCATGAAGCGCGGCGATGCAGTCTGGATAGAGGAGGAGGCCCACTCCGGCCGCCTGTCATCAGCGATCGCGGAAACGTTCCGATGGGTGATGGAGGTGAAGTATGGGGGGTTGTAACCATATTTCAATTCTCACATGTTAATTTGTTACTTTTTGGGCTGTCATGAAGCAACGACATTGCACCGTTATTTATTGGCATCACGGCTCAATCGCCGCCAAAGCCGGGTCCATGAGCTTGTCCACGGTAATTCTGGGAGTGCAAAATGTAATATTTGTTTCGTTTTTATAAGGGTCAGGAAGGGGAAATTGAAATAATGCTTGGGGGTGGGGTTAGTTCGGATTTGCTCTCTTGTCTCATAAAAGTCCTCTCCCGTGACAGCATCTTGAGAGACAAAATGTGATTTTTGATCCGTCAACGGCTCAGTATACCGATAATTCAACTAGACCGTGGGTGCCAATGTCTCTGCATGCGTGTTCGAGAGCGCGCTCGTAAGTGGTGCACACGCTGGACTGTGGCACGGAGCGATCGCACGTGCGGCGGTCAGCACGTGTAGTTGAGCGGCCGCGGCGTCATGAAGCGCGTGACCATCTCGGCGGTGACGCTGCGCCGCCGCTCCTGGTGCGCCGCCACCAGCGGCTGCAGCACAGCGATGAGCTGCTGCTTGAGCTCGCCCGTGAGCATGGCGCCGCTCGTGTAGTCCTGCACCCCGAGCGCAGTGGACACCGCCGTCAGCCCCAACGTGTGACGACAACAACAACAACGCTACCTCAAAACGTGGTGCCATGCACACGGAACGGCCGCCACCGATCATGCCGCACCATTCACAAGAGAGCCAGATCTGGCAGTGTAGCGTGGTTGGCATGTGCCTCGGTGAAAGAATAAAATAGGGCGCCCTGATCAATTTCTTTCCCTTTTCACAGCCCAGGTACAGGTCCCCTCTGATACATGGACCCCAGTGCAGTTGCAGCACCTGCACACTCGATAGCTGCACCAATGGCCGCACTGCTTGGCTTGCATGATACGTGTCGTAAATGTGGACCAGAGGCTATGGCTGTGGCTGTTTGCCTACTGCTTGCCGTGTGACACGGTTGTAAGGGATTGATGGTGTCAAGTTTGGAATGGAATGCCAAGCATTATTCAAACGACTGAAAGCCTGAGGTGATACTTGAGCCAGGCTGATACAGTTAGGAATAAAGATGGCTGAATTTACAATGCTCCCTTTCGTGTCTCTAAAAAGGGAACACTGAATTTGGCACCGAATGTATGAACCCCGCTGGCAGCCGATGCTGAAATGAGACTCTACGTTGGTGAAGCCAGGAAATTACAGCTGATCTTTATGGCAACATAATCGATCTCCCACCCACTAGAAAAGAGCTGAGGTCAACAGAATGGCGGTAGCTGCAGAACCATGACAATCTTCAACGGCAGTAAACTATCTAAACACCAAAATTTTTTTTTACAGTTCTTGCATATACAAATTTGGGCTGAGTGTCCAGGGCTCACATGCATTTCCAGCTGTGATATCACTCGTGTGCTACAATTGTGGTCCTGGAAGTCACTTTATATTTTTTTCCTCCAATACACAGTGCATAGATTTCAACTCTGGGTTAACCCCATACATTGAGCAAAGCTGCCACATGGGGTGTTAAAAGCAGTTTTTCAGATTCAGTGTACACGTAATTGGTAAACTGGCAAGAGTGGGCAGTTGTAATTCAGAAGTTGTGGTTTCAGGTGACAAGCAAACACAGGGAGCCCACATCTCAATCGATACCAACATGGCCAAAATCTTTGCCATTTGCTCCACCTGCTGTAATTATACAGAAGAGCACACGAGATCTCGTTGTGGAGGGCTCTCACTATCTCCACTACGGGCAGCGTCTCAGGCGACGGAGAGGATGCACCGGCCGGCGGGGCGGTGGGGGGTGCGGTGGGGGGGGGCGGGGGGGGTGGGGGCGGTGCAGGGTGGGGGGTGCGGTGGGGGGGTGCGGTGGGGGGGTGCGGGGGCGGTGCAGGGTGGGAAGGTTGAACTCGCCTTGCGGATTTGCGCCAGCCGCTCGTCGTCCTCCAGGAAGAAGGTGAGGTACATGTAGCACACGTCCACCTCCACGTTCCCACCCAGCTTGCGGTGCTCTTCGATTGTGTCGCGGCCACCGGAAAACGCAGTGCTTGTTCACCTGCGCACACGGCGGCGTGGGTTACTGCCAGCCCAAGCCATCGCGCGACGCTTATGTCACCCCACCACGGCACATTGTCCAGGTGCGTTGCTGTGACTGCAGGAGTGAGTGACGCTACTTGAGGCAGGGCTCACCTCTGTGATTTTTTTAGTTTTACAAGCACGGACACATTTTTACCTCCTCATTATCATCAACGACGATAACAGCCTTTGTACTCTGCTCACTAGGCATGCGAGCATGCGTCAATTACAATACATTTCTGCATACGCAATGCACGCATCAAATCGCCCAGGTGTGCATTAATTGTTCACGGTTTATGCAGATGACATGCTATTACATTTAGGCCAATGGAGCAAAACTTAACAAAATGAGCTGGAGCATATGAGAAATTATCTAAGCGAGACAGTAAAAACCACACAGGACAATGTGACAAGTCAGCAAATCGTGGAGATAATAGAATTCTTACAATGCCTGGTGCCGACTTTTTTTTTTTCCTCCTGAGCAAATGGACAACTGGTCGTAAACAATGCCCCTTTATACTCTTACTGTATCCTTCGTTCCACAGTGTACAGACCAAGCCTCTTCAATGCCTGCGGGGTGTACGCCCACGAGGAGCAACATGCAACAATGGATGCATAGCCCGGCGATTAGCAAACAGGCAGCTGCCCCCAAATGTGGTGGTGGTGGTTTTTTTTTGGTGCATTCCGCATTCCCGTGTTTCAGGGCCGGTGCCTGGATCTGGCCGGGCAGCTCCGTCAAACTGCAGCCCGCGGACCTTGCTCTTGATCTGCTTGGCTGTGTCGGTGAGGAAGATGGATGAGTTGGGGTCGCTGGCGCTCATCTTGGTCTGCGCGCCCTGTAGCGCGGGGAAGAAGCTGCAGTGCAGCAGCGCGGGTTTGAGGTAGCCGATGCGTGGAGCGACATCACGCGTCATCCGGAAATACGGGTCCTGTGAGAGTCACATATGCATGCAAAGACAAAGATCCTCCGTATAGTCGTTTCTCAACCAACTGTGCATGCAGCTTGTGGCTACTCTGCTTCAATGCTGTTTCGTTATTCTCTTATCACACGTCAGATCATTCTTGCCATTCTTCTGTAACACTAAGTCTCAAACAGCTCTATACATATGCGGTACAGCTGTATAGCCGAAACAGACTGTTGCAAGTTCTGCTAGCGAGCACCTGTCAAGGCCTACACGGTACACGAGGGGGTAGGTGGCCAGCACCATGCCCGGCGCACACACAGCTTGAGTGCAGTTTTGGCGTTGGCGGCGTTAGCAGTAGTACACTGCCTCAGACATTTCATTCATATTCAGCAAGGTGAAAAGCCTAAGAGGTTCATCATCTATTTTACAATAAACTGGGATAAAATCATCGTTGTTATATAAGTTTTCATGTATATCCCTTGTGCCAAGACACTGCTGGTGGAAGTCGTGCTGTGTTCCTATATAAAACCCCTCCCTTCATCCCTTGACCATCTGCCCGACCTGATCAATGCCGCACGGGATGAGGCACTGCACGTCAGTCCGGCCACCAAAGATGTGAGGGAAGGAGCTGCTGAAGGAGGGAGCTGCCTGCACAGCCGGGAAACTGATCTTACCTGTGGAGACATGAGCACCAACATCATCATCATCATCACCGCTACCACCATTACATATCATTACCAGACACCATCAACCGATGATCATCACCACCATCGTCACAGTATCGCTTCACTTACATAATAAATACCAAAACACCACCATCACCAATACCACCATCCAAGTATCAACTTCTTCTCGAGACAATCATTATCAAAAAACCACCAGGCACGCAATCATTACTACTGCACGATTAACACGGCACCATCGCTGTCATCAACAGCAGCATAACAAAGCACTCTATACCACGATCACTGTCAGACAACCACCATCTGTAACAACACCACTACCACCATTACTGCACATCAATATGGGTTTTTGCTGGAGCTGATTTACTTGCGTAGGGTTCTGAAGTGTTAGTTTTTCTACTCGCAAATTACGACAGTTGACCCCACTTTACCGATGCAGTCGCTGTCTCCGAAGCCGAAGATGCCCTTGACTTGGTTGAACGTCACGTGCTTCTGCACCTTAACCACGTTCATGTAGAACTCTTTCGATTGCCTTTAAAGGACACACACATGCACTTTTTACAGCAACAATAAATAAACGCACAATTCACAATCAAGAGATAAGGTCTGCGTTGAGCAGTGGAACCTACAAATGAATAAAATCATATCCTATTCCAGAACATGGCCAATTCTTCACCAGTCACGAGTGTGCTCAACAATATTTGGCCACCTTTTCTGAGGCTCAACAATTTCTCACACAGTCCAAAGAGCCCTAACAACCATAGCTGCCTCTAAAACTAACATGCTTAGCATTATAGTCAAATAAGTATAACCCGTAAAAACAAAGTTTTTCAGCTCTAAATCCTTTATATGCGTGGCGGCTCTCGTCCTCTGGCTTGAGATGGCTGCCACCTATGGGTCAGATGATTGTCTGCAGTATTAAACAATTGGTAATTAAATATTTAATTTGTTTTCCCTAAACAGTGTAAAATATTTGAATTTTTTTTTTACGAACATGAATTGTCTCGCACAACGAGTCTGTGTGCAAAATGTCAGCTCGATTGGATCACGGGAAGTGGGTTAAAAAACGACCGAAAGGTTTGCACGGTCGTAAGCAAGCAAGCAAGCAAGCACGCGAACTTAATATAAAGGATTTAAAAAATACACTGCTCTGAAAAATATTTCCACCCATCAGAATTTTAGAGTTGCCCATGCGGAGTGGTAATGGGCAAGTCAATTCATGGGAATGCCCATAACCACATGTGGGAGAGAGGTAACAGATAAGGTTGAGGTTAATGTTGAGGCTCAGGCTACCAATTAGCCACATCACTCTTTCATGTACTTCTGGTGGAGGGCCTCTTCATATGGTGCAGGTCATGGGGGTTACTTTACCATACATCACCACGCGGCTCAGTGTGGCTTGGTGAAGGTGGGGAGCACAGACATTGAAGCAGGAGAGTATAATCATACACTTTGCTGTACTGCTCTCTGCTGACCAAATCACCCAGAATGATCGAAATTTTAAGAAGCTAAGCAGGGTTGAAACTCGGATACTACTTCGATGGGTGACCACCGTGAACAAAATAGGCATTTTAGGCTGCTGCGGAGAGTGTTATTTTCATTAGGAGCAGCAATTCAACCGATGTACACACTGACAATGGAACAAACTTTCCCTTGGCTAAGACCGTGTTCAGCAAATCGCCTCACCCCATGTACTCCAGGTCGGAGAAGATGAAGGTCTTGTTGATGTCAAAGCCACATGCGATGATGTCTCGGCTGTTCTCGTGAGCGAGCCTGTTTGCTTCCTCCAGCTCCATATCCTTCCACAGGTATTTCTCGTCGTCCGTCAGCTGGATGACCAGTGGAACGTTGAACGTTTCCTGCAGCCACCTGCCAAGGACAGTCGACGTTGCCTTCACTCATGGCATGCAATGCTCTTAGAAAAAAAACATTACTTTTACTCCCGCCCAAGTGTTATGCAAGCCCTGAGAGTAAGAACCAAAAGTGCTCGTCAAGAACTGTGGTTTGTTACGTGTGAAAAATAAACTATTCTTTTAAAAAAAATTGCTGTTTTGGAAACGGCCAAGGAAGCTCAGAGGACAGTCTTCAAATGACACTGCCGAGATCCTAGAATTGGATCTAGGTTAGTTTCTCAAGGGTGGTGATTTCATGATTTCTAACATCATATAATAATTTCAAATTTTAACATTCTCAGTATTCACTCACTCTCGAAAACAAAGAACGACTCAGAGGTGCGTGGAGGAACCACAGACACATAGGAAGGAAGTGACATAAGTGGGCCAGTGCCAACAACTACCCCAGCTCTGCGGTCCTCTATATATTAAGGTGTAATCGGCCATTTAACGAGTGCTTCCATCTTGACTTAAAGCTTTCGTGACTGCAGGAATTCAAACAATATGAGTGTTTCCATGTGGGGGAACCCCACGTGTGTGAGGGGAAAAGAACTATCCCATTTAGACGGAACAGGTATAGTCCACATTTTTGCTGTACTGCATTCTCCTGGAGAGCAAGGGTACAGCACTTCAAGGCTCACAGGAAAGGAGTATTACAACATGTGTGCAATCCACCAACCCTCGCGTCCAAAGTGGTGATTACAGGCATGTGCCACCCCTGCCCAGCGGTTTATTAATATTATCAGATCAAACAATCATTTTTTTATGTGATCGTTGTTGTAGAGCTTGTGGAAAAGTGCTCCCTACTGTGTAACCACCTCAGTTCCTCTTTTTAACAGTAATATCTCGTTTCTGTTTGTGTGCATACACGTCATCTGCCAGCGGTCATACGGATCAAGCGATGTGTTCAAGCAAAGTCCCGGTCACGTACTGGGTGAATATGAAGGAGATGAGGTGGCCGACGTGCATGGCGTCCGACGAGGGCCCACGCCCCGTGTACAAGAAGAACGGCTTCTTGGCCTCGTACGCATCCAGCAGTTGGTGCATGTCCCTGCGAGGGATTAAGACTGAGGTCAGCGGTAATACCTGCGTTACCCATTTCGGATATTTTCTGTGCCAGAAAACTTCGTTGTTTTGCTGCTCTCATTTGTGAGCCGTGTCAGCACCGCTGCACATTCGAATCGATTGAGGTTCACAATACGGCTTGAATTTCAAAGCATCATATTACGAGGTCTAATAAAAATGAGGCTGTAAAGCAGAAATCATGGGTGCGCCTGCACAGGGGCTGGAACCCCCATCATGGCAGCGCCAGTACCTGTGTGAAAAGAAGATGCCTCGCCGCAGAAAGTGATGCGCCTGTTTGCCAGTGACCCGCTCGATCCGGTCGATCAGGTGCTGGTCGATTTTACTGCTCCCGAAGTTGACTGACAGTGGAATACAACCAACGTCCGGTAAGAGAACGAACATTTAACCAATACGGGCAAAGTTGTTGCATGGTGGTGGTGCGCAGATGTGGTGGCGTACACCCGTGCTCGAGCGTTTTGAAAGGGACAGTTTGATCCATCACAAAGATTTGTGAATCTCCAAAACCCACTGGGCTGTGAAGTGACTAAGAGATGGTTTCACAGCAAGTAGCTTTTTGTACCCGTGTATGCACCTCTGAGTGCTATCTCCTTATAGGCTTGTGTTTTTTTTTCAAGCTTTCGTCTGTGATTAAACCACTGGTGTGCCGCCACACCTCTGCCCCACCGCCGGGAGCCATACCGATGAGTTTGTCGTAGTCGATGCCCTTGGCGCTGGAGGTCTGCACATTCCATGGGTCCACGTGGTCTGTCTGCGCTTCCTGTGCAGCGGTGTCGCTGGGGACGCAGTCGGGAGCCTGTGCGGCCCCGTTGGCAGCCTCGTTCACCTTGCCGGGTGGGGCGCCAGCCTGGTACTCGTGCCCCGACACTCGCTTATACTCCAGCTTCAGCTCCAGCAGCTTCTGGACTGCTCCCTTGACCTCATCCTGGTGGAGATCCATAGTGACAACAGATACAGAGCTTGGGGTTTTGTCGTACTGACACTGGGAGAAATTTAATGAAGCCCCCTGTTCAATTTCCCCTCCAATTAATGGGATTGGGTGCAGTTGCACAGCCAGCACACTCTACAGCCAAACCACTGAACTAATGATGTTAAAAATGGAACCACCATAACAAATACACTTTTTTTGTTGATTTAACATCTACTTAAATTCGTTGATCAACAATCACAACTAGCATTATTGCCATCCCTCTTAAAGTCAAGAAAACATTTTAGTGCAATTATTTTGACAAAATTGCAACAAAAAAAACAATTTATATGAGTTGTAGTTTGCAATATCCAACATTTTTCTATATGTATCATACTAATTAAACTTTAAGCGGGGGTTTGAGTAAAAAAAACTCTGAATGTTTGTTTTATGTAAAAGAGGGAAATCGGGTCAAACTGCATTTTACAAATAATCTTGCACTGCCCACGCATTTCCACAGGATACACGGGTGGGGTGAAGGGTGAAAAAGGTGAATAAGTATAACCCGTAAAAACAAAGTTTTTCACTATAAATCCTTTATATGCGTGGCGGCTAGAGTCCTCTCGTCCTCTGGCTTGAGATGGCTGCAACCTATGGGTCAGATGATTGTCTGCCAGTATTAAGCAATTGGTAATTAAATATTTAATTTGTTTTCCCTAAACAGTGTATAATTTAGGAAAAATTTTTTCACGAACATTAATTGTCTCACACAACGAGTCTGTGTGCAAAATGTCAGCTCGATTGGATCACGGGAAGTGGGTTAAAAAACTACCGAAAGGTTTGCACGGTCGTAAGCAAGCAAGCAAGCATGCAAGCGAACTTAATATAAAGGATTTAAAAGCAGTCTGCTCTTCCATGCCTGGGGCAGCCAATTGATAATCCATTCAAACTGTGGCGTTTACACTCCATCTTGCTCTTATCAAATGTCACCATGTCAAATCATGCAAAGCCAAGCTGGGTTTATTTCTGGTAAGTACTTGTGTGGGTAAAAACCAGTACTTTCAAGTATTGTTGTATACGTAGTTTCCCCTACACAAAACCAAACATGCATGAATGGAATTGGCCAAACATCGCATTGCAGCTGAACCCTCCTGGAAAAATACCCTCAAGACTCGGTGAGAATTTTCTGCGTGAATAATTGGCATTATTATTAAGTATTCAGTAAAATTAGTTAGTATTACCTCCCTTAACATGGTTTCACATCCTCGTCAACCAATTCCAAGGCAGTCATCCCATTGGAAGGATGAGGAGCCTTTAGTACCTTCCATCCTTCTTCTCTTCCCATACCTGATGTGCCTTCTGTGCCTTGAGGGCTCTCACGGCCTCTCCCTGCTCCGACACCCGCTCGTAAAGCTCCCCCGGGGACAAGTCATGGGCCGCAGACATCTCGGCCAAAACGAATCGCTGCGTCTTAGGAGGTCCTGTTGGAATATATACACAGTGCATGTGTCAATGTGTGCTGGAATGCGTGTGCATATTAGTATTATGTAGGGCTTGCGATAGTGTAGCGGGTAGCACACTGTGCTACGAACTCATTTACCAGAGTTCGATTCCCGCTCACGACCAACATCAGTGACGAATATCTGAACCGGTCCTGGGCCTCCTGTAGGTAGTACCTTGTGCGGTGTGTGAATGCCACCAATAGAAAGACAAAGACGGCCAGGCGTGGTGCTGGCCACCCACCCCCTCGTGTGCAGTTCCGGCCTTCATAGGTGCTCGCTAACAGCACTCGCCCCAAAAGTCTGGTAAGGCTATACGGGGAATCTTTGTCTTTATAGGGCATGCCCAGATATGTGTGGGTCATTGCTGTCGGTATCAGCTTGTATGACCGACACCCAAGCACAATCCCAAACGTCACTCGCACCTGACACAACCAGTTCATTGCGACACTTCTAAAACGACCGCTGAAGGTTAACGACTGCCATTCCCTCACCTTGCCTAACTATTCTCGAACCGACAGGACACGCGTCTCTTTATTTAATGAGCCAGCACAGGCAGATTTTTTTGTATTACCTGCACCGCGTTACCATATGGTACAGTCACGCGAGATTCTATCCCTGTGGCGTAGCGATGCAAATTCCCTCGATCAATAATTGTACAGTTGGCTGATGTTTCGGCCAATTACTTAACATATTCGGTGTCAAAGTTGTCATATCCCAACAGCCTTCACATTATTTATTGACGGTCATGAATTGGATTACATAGCATTGAGTGGTCATAGTAATAGTTATTCATTTTGCGCACGAACATGTTTTGAATGTACATTAGTAATTATAAATGGAATGCGTTAACAGTGCTGAATAATTGACACGTGAGTACAGTGGATTTGAATTGGCATTGTATACGAATAACATTTAACCGACACGTGGAACAATTTCTCATTGACAACCATTAACGTTACACTTAACTAACGAGTTATTAATTCATTTAAGTCAACACTTAACACAATTAAGTCAACACACCCAGCACACGACAACCCCGACTCCGGCGCGGCCTACGCGCGTCGTTCTGGGAGTGCTGCCGGGGTTGGGGCGCTGAAACCCGGCAGTCGGACTAGCCGAGGTCGGTCCCCGTGCCGGGGTCCCGGGGAGGGAATCTTTGTGCTCTTGGCCCGGGGTGAACCCCCGTGTACTTCGCGTCCCCACGTCCCCGCGTCGCCTCTCACCGCTCTCGATCGCCCGGGAGGAACTCTGAAGGCGGCGCTGCTGCTGCTGCTGCTGCTGCGGCCCAGAACGCCAAAGCCGGCGTATGTCTCTGCTTGCGTCAGCGGAGGTGAATCGATTCGGCGATTCACGAGGGACGGAGACCTCCAACATCGATTCGATTCTCGGGCTCCTCGTTCCTCATTGGTTCTTTCGGTAAAGTCGCGTCGAAAGGAAATAAATGAAGTGATAGAATACGAAGTTTCGATTCCAACACGAGCAGAGGCGTAGCTAGGGGGGGGCAGGGGGGTACACGTGTCCCCGGGCGCCAAGGTAAAGGGGCGCCAAAATGAGGCTTACAACGTGACATTATAACTTATTGCGGCGGGCGCGGCAGCCTGAAACTACTGCACAAATATACACCTCAACCTAAAAGTTCATATATCCCGCCACACACAGCCTACATGTCATGTAATTACATGTTGTTAAAAGCCGATTTTAAGACCAAGGCAGTCGGCCGAATGTGCTGCTGACCACACACACCATGCAGCCTTATCCTGTGCTATGACTGCTGCAGTTGCCCCAACGATGCATCAGACTGAAATAAGGAGACCTCTCCCGAGTGTGGTTAGAGAGGGCGCAGTGTTTGAGTTCGGCGTCAAAATAAAAAAAAAACGGTGCTTGGATGTTGTGTAATCACCATACAATTAAATTCGTTAATGAATTGCAGTAAAATCTATTGCTGGCGACCTCGATGGAGCAATCCCTCTAACGAGTTGATTTCGTCGTTCCATGTCCACGGTTGCATCCTCTTGGGCATTCCCTTGTTTAGATGCCACTGTCATTAGTTTCGACCACCAGCTGTGCATAAACAAATATACCCACAGTATGCCGGATATCTGAAACATGTAGGTTTACATAAGCAAAAAAACGCAAACATTTGCAAACCGCTTACTGTATTAACGATTTCCCTCCAATCCAAATCACCTGTGCACGTGTATATTTGTGCAGCAGCGAAATCAGTGGTAAGTATGAAGTATGAGGCCAGAACAAGTTCATAGGCCCAGATCAGATGTTTAGCTTTCTTAGTCACTCGACTGAAGAAAGAGTTCATTGCTCTTGACCACGGGTCAGCACTGAATTGATGCAGCAACATGAGAGGCAAGGTGATGGGGAATAGATTAAGTAATTGGGTGATAGGGAAAGATCTTATAAGGATCGCAGCAATTGGGTGGGAGTGATGGAAGGGTAATAGTAATGGTATACGCTGTAAACGCACGTTGGGCCGATGGCATGTGGTTGGAACCATTAGATCAATGTTGGCCCAACGTTCCATATTTCCTGGGTGTGTAGCTCGTCGTTGATGCGGTAGTGTCTTGAGATGCGGTTTGCATTTAGATAATCTATGCATGCCGATTGGTTCTTGTTGAGGGTAGGCTAGGGCAGCAATGAGAAGAGGAGTGATTGAGTGGGCACGAGTGATATGGAGAGGATGGAGTGATGAGAGAAAGTGACGGGGAAAAGGACTGATGCAGTGGGTGTGATGGTAACGGAGTCAGAGGAATAGGATGGGAAGTCAGAAGTTTACTGCCCGAGGAAAGCCCCTTGAACTGTACAGCTTTTACACCAGTTGGAACCTCATTTGCCAGTAAAAAATATAATTGTTTTTTTACCCTTCTATCTGGCAACAAAACTGACACCTTTTTTAGAAGGAGTCATGTTTGCATAGACCACAATACCTGCAGTCATAATGCAAACAAAACACATAACTCTGATAATGTATGCACTGTCCTTGAAGTTGATTGGTCCACAACCGAGACAGCTTTCCTTAGAGCCTAGTCTCACATGGGTTGGACCAGATGACGCCAAAAGGCCAGATAGAAGGGTAAAAAAACAATTATCACTGTACAGCTTTGTCAAGGGCAACTCGGCTGGCAGACAACAGTGGCAGCAAATCGTTGCAATTTAGCAATCGCACCGGCTTTAAAAAAGGTTAATTATCACAATATCTAAAATGCACATCCCAGCTGATGATATCATTGCCCAGGTCGACGTAGCCCTTCAGGTTTTGGGGCACATTACTGCAGACGTGGCAAGATCGGAAATAGCTGCAATCGTCAAAAACGCTAAGACACCTTTTAGCAACATCAGTAAAGATGAGCGCTTTGAGCTTTCTCAACTAAAAAAAGAGAGATGACATCGTCATCCTCTCAGCCGCCAAGGGCAATTCCACAGTCATCATGGACAAAACCACAAACAATAACAAAATTCATCTACTTAATGATCCTACCAACTGCCTCGTTACGAAAACCAACAATATCATCACTGATTTGACATCTCTGGTCGAACCAACCAAGCGGTTTTCCTTAAAACCCTTTGCTGCTAGACCACCCAGATTATATGGCTTACCAAAAATCCCTTTCGTCCTATCGTCTCCACCATTGACTCACCCACCTACAAACTGGCCCAATTTCTGTCTGAGACCTTACAACCATTCACTGGTAAGACTACTTCAGCTGTACTCAACTCAGGTCACTTGGTATCGTTAATTAAGGACATCTGACAATCTCCATGTGATTTGCTCGTTAGTTTCGATGTGGTCTCTTTGTTTACCAAAGTTCCTGTGCTGGACACCATTGCAGCTATTGAAGATTTGGTCCAACAAGGACGGAATGCTGATGTACCGGCCCTGGTGAAACACTGCCTCACCAACACTTACTTCACCTGGAATGGAACATTCTACAAACAAGTTGAAGGTACCCCAATGGGTTCTCCCTTATCTCCAGTTGTAGCCAATGTTTTCATGGAAAATTTTGAGACAGATGCCATCCAGGCATCCACTCTACGTCTGTCCTTGTGGAAGAGGTACGTAGATGACACGTTCGTCATCTGGCCACATGGCCGACCAGCTCTGAATCAATTCTTCAACCACATCAATTCCATACACCCAGCCATAAAATTCACCATGGAGGTGGAAAAGGATGGCAATTTACTATTCTTGGATGTTTTAATTGAAAAGAGACCAGATGGCTCAATGGGACACTGTTTACAGGAAAGCCACCCATACGGATGCCTACCTAAAACCTGACTCCCACCACCATCCATCCCAGAAGAATCAAAACTCTACACCATAGAGCTCGATGTATTTCCGACCGTCATCACCTAGCCAGTGAACTGGAAGACGGACACCAAGCTCTCAAGATGAATGGATATTCAAACCACACAATCCGTAAAGCTATCACCCCAACCGTTGGGAAAGAACCATCTGAGGACCCAATCAAAACCATCACCTTGCCAGACATAGCAGGGGTCACGAAAGATATTTCCAAAATCATGAGTAAACACAAGATGCAGGTTAGATTGAACACAGTACATTAAATTCGTGATCTGATCCCATCTGTGAAGGATGTGATCCCTGACATGCAATACCCCGGCGTCTACAAATTAAGCTGTCTGCGGCAGTAGTTACATTGGGGAAACTAAGCGACATGTCTCGGACCGTGTTCGTGAACATAAGGCAGATCTGAGACATGGTAGGACCAATACCTCGGCCATGGCTGATAATTGTTTTATTGCGATGAGCTCACACGAAATTGATTTCTCTAAGACGAAGGTACTTTGCAAGCCCACTGGCTATCAACAAAGATTTGTTCATGAAGCCATCCAGATATATATACAGACACAATTTCAACAGAGATGGGTACAAACTGAGCAATCATTGGAAGGACATTATTAGTCATAACTGGCTGTGATGTTTCCATACTACCTTCCGATGTTAGTAGTTATTTTCGACTCTGGTTTAACATTAACAGGTTAAATATCTCACACTAACACAGCCACCGTCGCTGATGTCCTCGATGTGGCGGTGGCTCTGCGATCTTACATTGACATGCTAATCTCTCACAATACAATGGCCACCTCCGCAGCTTCGTTGTCGTGGAGGAAGCTCTCCGATCTTACATTGACATGCAAATTTCTCACATTAACATCACAAGCCCCACCTACTTCGTTTATGACCCTTGGGCTACACCCATTTCAAACCTTTAAAACAGCTGCCTCAGCAGCTTCCCCGCTATTTTTTCTCCTGATGATGATTGTGTTGCGATCGAAACGTCGTCATTTTGTTTGTTATTTTCTTTGATCCTATCTACGTGACTTCACCAAAAGACCCAAGAATATCTAAGATGCAACTATGTGCATTCTCAAATGATTTATTGTGAGTGTAGATTAAGTGTAGTTGAAAGTGATGGGTAGGGATCATGGCACTGTGTATAAGTCACGTGTAAAAGCATTAGCTAAATAAATGGTACAAGGGAGATGGCAAGATGGAAGCGTGAGGGGGAAGAGTGCATTGAGGCCGTGTAACAATAACCTGTACACAAACCGGACAAGGCTCACGGACGCAGGAAGATCAAATACTTTATTATTGCGTTTCAGCAAGTGCAGGCAAAGAGAGGCCGCCCTGATTGTCCGGATTAGGCTTGCACCCAGAACACCCCTACTACATTTTCATGGACAAAAATAAATACTGCGTTTACAAGTGTCCCTGAATAGCACGCGCGGGGGCGAGCCGAGGCGCCGTGAGGAGGGTGGGCGGCCACACTCGCACATTACACTTCAAGTCGATTCAACCGGCACGGGCACAACACGGTCTGCTTTGCGAATACTCCCTGGTGGTGCATTTAATAAGTCAAGGCCCGTTGATTTTGCTGTGTTAATGGAAAGACAATGAATGTACGATAAACAAAATTTCTATAAAATCCAAAGGACATTTCAGTCACGCCAACAAGGTCTCCCGAGTATACATGTTGGTTCGTAGGAGAATAAAATGAACATACACACACCGACTGACTAATAACGACTATGACGAAATGTATCGACGAAATGTATCGAGCAAATGGAGTAAACATGGATCGTTGGGTCAATGTTGTTCCAACAGTTCCAACCAAATTCCAACGTTGACCCAACGTTGCATGTGGCTGTGCAGTCGACTGCAAGGTACAGAGTCTTCAGCACCAGCTGCGCCCACAGCCAGTATCGAGAGCAGGCTCCGCGAGTCCGGTTGCCGCGCCGGGTGCATAGATTCTGACGAGGACACGGCCTGGTAGCGACACAATGCAAGGCAGAGCGACACTGCAAGGCAGAGCGACACACTGCAAGGCAGAGCGACACACTGCAAGGCAGAGCGACACACTGCCACAAAGCCCCCAACCAGCCACCGACCGCACAAAAAAAGGGTGGACAGCAGCAACAGCAGTTGCCGCAACGGCATGCATTCGCGTGTCCGGATGCATTCGCGTGTCCGGAAGAATGGCTCCATCCTCGTGACTTCCCATTTGGGTTCCGAGCAATAACCTGGCAAACATGAAACATTGGGCCACTGCAATGACGGCAACGGTAAAAACCTCCCTAAAGAGTTTCACCACCACCACCACCACCACCGACAGCGATGCAGGCTCAGAGAAAACATACACGGCTGTAACGTCAACGCTTGTACTTTGCTGGTTCCGCCATGTCAGCCGCCTGACTTTTGGGACAAAAACATCCTTTTGTTGTCCAAGATGTTTTGTTTTCCCATATGTATTTAAACACAAGTCCCCCTTAAAAACCAGAGTCCTGTTCTCAATTGGCGCTTACCGGATCAGGATTAAAAGTTGTCAGTTTAACATTTACATTAAAAATGTATTTGGAATAAATACACTTACAAGTTTACTTGTTCATCCCAAATATGGTATAGCTAGAAAATACCTGCACCAGCAAAACATTTGGGTAGTCTCGGCCGCGGATCGTGGAAAGCAGACGTTGCTGGAGACGTTTTCTATTTTTTTTTATAATGACGTTAATTTCCCACTGCTAAAGCACGTGTCCATTAAGTAAAAGGAGATCCCCTCAAGTCCATGGTGTTATGTACTGCACAAGTCAACGCAGTTTTTTTCGCAGTTCACCTTACACTTGACGTTTGCATCATGCACGTACGTTTCACGTGTAATCCTCGTGTACAGAAGCAGCTCTATAAGTGAAGTAGAAAACGTCTTTTCTGCAGCAACTGTTGTAGAGAGCAGGGGTTTTGAAACTCGACCGTTTACAACACCACCTCCCCTCCTTTGCTTCCCACCAAAATCAGAGGTGCCACTGTAGGCGAAAGCAAAGTGCTGCGCTAAAAGACGAATTTTGCGCTCTCCGTAAGATACAAAGTGATTATACTGCATCGGCATGTCATATCCAGCTGGGCATGGTGCCAACACTGTTATTTTATCTTTGAAACTCAACTGTCAGCTGTATTGGTCCTGTGTTTTGTCATGTAAACAGCATATTTTAAGTCTATAAGTCGAAGCGACAGCACCAAGACTAGCAAGTATACATCAGGGAAAAAAATATTAGTTCATGATTAAAATAGGTTCATCCGTAATTACTGCAGCACGATACGAAGAATACAAATATAGAGTACTATGTCATTTTTTTGTTATATAAAAGACAAAACATTTCTAGTGTTGAAGCTCGCCGTGGAATCTCATTAACCGTCTCCTGTGCCGCCTCACTACAATTTGCTAACAGTACAGTACAATCAAATAAAGTGATAAGCATGACGACACAAACAGAATAAACGATAAGTAACATTCTAACACATAGGCAGGTAAAGCTAGTTAGACATTGCTCCTGTTCAGAGCATGCCATGTTTTCTTGACATTTTAAAGTCAATTTAAAACTCGAGGTCGTGTACCCCCTTGCAGATTGAAGTCTCCGGCATTACTGATCCTCTGACCTAGCCGATAACGAACAAACAGCTCCAATGACGTCTATTGAATTGAAATATAAAGAGACCGCGTCATTGGCAGTTTCCCGTGCACCCATGAGCCGTGAGAGGGCGTGAGAAGACGGGGGAATTTTTAAAATCCAAAGACTCTACAACTAGGAAACCCTCAACAGCCCAGGCCTCGCCATCTATAACAGTCCAGGATCCTGCTTATATCAATTTCGTCCATTTTTCGTAATTTAAAAATACATTGCATATTGCGGATGTTGATCGATAAGGAAAGTTAGAACTGAAGAAGCAGGAGCGGGGCCTGTTGTCTCAGGGTCTGTTTCGCAGACGTGTGATCTGTGTTAGCACTGCGCTGACAACAATCGTGGTGACACCAAAACAGATCCCTTACATTGTTCACACCTAAGCGGGACTGATGAGCCAAACAGGAAACATCCCATCATGGGTTGCCAGTGGCTTTTAATCTACAGTCCTCTTGCTAACTTAAAAACAGATCATTAAACCAACTCTTGCACATTTCACACGCCATCCGTTTGATACAATTTCACAATCAGTTTGAATCTGGCAGTGACTAAACGACGACAAGGCGAATGGCACGTGATCCAAGAAATTCATCGGCAAGTGCCATCGCTAACCAACATCACTTGCGTGTGAACAATTGCGACATCACAACACGTGCGCCCCCTCGCCTGCTGCCAAGTCCAGAATGCTTCCGTCCTCCTGTGCTTTGGTGAAACTGTTTTTCCTGCGCAGGTTGTGATGCACACCCATGCGTTTGTGGGTCTTGTGAGCCCTGGGTGGAGGCAAGTCCCCCAGCTCGCTGCTCAGTAGATGGCCCTGTCCTCCACGCACCTCCTCCACACTGTGCACCGTCTCTCCTGGCTTGTCGGAGGCATCGAGCCCGTGCGCGAGTCCTTGCATGCGACTGACCACAGCGCTCTCGTCCCTGAGCCAGGCCGATTTCTCCCGTTCCGCAGATCGCTCGCCCACGCACCGCTCCTCCGCCTTCCTCTCCACGCGGTCGGTGTCGGGGCCAGAATCTTGACTTGCGTGGCCCGAAAAAAGCGACTCGGACAGACTCGCCGTGTACGACTCCTCCCCGTCCGAGTGGTATGGCCCGCTGGTGCGACGCATGACCGCCCCCCGGCACTCGCCATTGCCCCCGTCGTCTCCCGCACGCTTCTGACCCAAAACCTCGGACAGCAGCTGCACGGACTCGCTGTCGAAAGAAGTGCGGCTGGAGATCTCCTTGTCCGAGTCTGGCGCCACTTTGTCCACGAACATGCGGCGCCAGCTGCCCAACATCTCCGTCTCCCAGTTGCAGAAGCTCTGCCGGTTGTGCGTGTCTGAGCAAGCGTTGTCGCACGGTTGCCCCTGCCCACCGAGCCATGCCACCGTCCCCGGATATGGCGTCGACGTGGGGGGCTCGTAATACAGACCCTGCCGCTCCCCTCCACCTTGCGCCAAGTGCATCAGATCCTGCTCCGCACTGGTGCGTGGGCTACGATGAGGCAGCGGTGGAAGGCGCGAGTGTTGCTCATGCGCGCCGGGGCTGCCCATGCAAGGATGAACACCGTCACGTGTCTTGCCGTAGCCGTGATCGAGCTCTGCGGGGACGACAATGTTGTGCCCGGCGCTGTTTTGGATGGGGCCTTGAGGCGAGCGACTTCCCTCCGCATGCGAGCCCGGCGGCGTCGGCGGTGGCACCGCTTTTCCGACAGCCGCGGCAGTCCTCCTTGGTGGCCATGCCGAGGGAGATGGCCTGCCGCGTGGCGTACGTACAGTTGGGGAGTGGGCTGTTCTTGGGGATCCTCACGTGATCGTCGCCGGAGAACTCCACCAACGCGCGGCGCCCGCCGTACGTGCTGGAAGGCGGCAGCGATGGCGGCGTGGCGTGCGCGCCGGCGGGCGCCGGCGTCGGGTACGGGGAGAGCCGACGAGGGGACGGCACGCTTCTCTCGCAGCCGTTGTCCCGCGGGGCGCCAGCGCCGTCCACGCTGCTTTGGCGGCTGCACGCGCTGCCGCTGGCCGACGACGACGACGACCCCTTGTGCACCCACGTGTCGCTCGCGTCGTCGTAAACCATGTCCGCGACGGCGGCGGCCGTGTCGTTCTCCGCGTCGTCGCCCTCGTCCTGCTCGTAATGCTCCGCGCTCATGTCCACGTGGACGAAGGTGTCGCCCGCCAGGGGCCGCGGGGCGCTGCGCGAGCTCGCCGACTGCAGGCCGAGCGGCTCGGGCTTCTCAAGGACGCGTACGATCACGCTCGTGGGGACCGAGTCCTTGGGGTGAGCGGACGACGGGGGACCGTGGGACGGCGAGGCCCTGGCAGCGTCGCCAATCTCCCCGCCCATGTGCTTGCTCACCAGCTCCTGCAGCTCCTGGGGCAGCTGCGTGTGCGCGGGCATCGTCACCGTTAAGCACAGGCAATATTGATCATCATCATTTTCATTAATATTGTGCAATTCACAGCGAAGGTCAATGTCACAGTTGGGGGAAACAAAGGCGGAAGGCGTGTTTTGTGCTTTGCCACCCAATGTCCCTCTCTTGCACCATACCCAACCGTACCTACTACATTACCCCAGCTATTAAAACGGCCTATTGGGACAATTACACGACACCTGCAGCTGAACGTGTGCCACTCACTCAAGCGGCAGTCACATTAGTTCTTTGCTCGTAATCGTTTCCCAGATTTATAATCAAATGTGGTGGAATAAAAAAATCACCAAGGACAAAAAGGTGCATGCAGAATGGGCAGAGCAGCTCGAATTCGGCGAATGCTTTAAGAGGCTTAAAGTCTGAGCTTCCTACAAAAGTCATTTGCTAAAATAATAGGGGTTTTCCCGTTTTTTCTGGCAACAAAACTGAAACCTTTTTACGAGGATTCATGTCTGCATTAACCACAATACTTGCAGTCAAATGCAAACAAAAACACACTATGATGATATATATGCATTGTCCTTGAAACTGATTGGTCCACACCAAGGGACGGCTTTCTTTTGAGCCTCGACCCAATTGTTGCTCGACCAGAGGACGCCAAAAGGCGTACAGCTCAAAGACAATGCACTATCAAACTATCATAGTGTGTTTTTGTTTGCATTTGACTGCAAGTATTGTGGTTAATGCAGACATGGATCCTTGTAAAAAGGTTTCAGTTTTGTTGCCAGAAAAAAGGGAAAAAAACCCTATTATTATATTTTGGTACTGGCAAAGGAGGTCTAATGATAATTTGCTAAAATTGTACATTACTTAAAATATTAATCATATATACACAATACCTTGGGACACATAGAAAAGCTGAATGCTGTGGGGCATTTATATACATTTAACACCTTTTAGGATAATTTTACTTATCATTTGTGTCCCAACAAAGAAATACTACATACGTGCGTTTGGATTTTTTAACACACGCTTGCAAAAATATATAACAACGTTAACATTAACGTGCATTTCCTTAAATTAGCATTGCCTTTATGTTTCACGAAATAAATGGCGAGCGTTATTTCCGGCGTCAGCTGCGGTGGTGGTCACCTCAGAGTACTTGTGGTTCCTGAAGTGGGACTTGTTGCACTGCAGGAGGTGAACGGCCAGGTTACAGTCCTTCCTGAAGCGCTCCTGAAACGGGAACGCAATGCGACGTCGGATAAACGTGCTGCGACCCCCGTGCTGGCCTGTGTTCAGGGCTAACACGTGTGGCTCTTCGCTACAGTTTAATGAGACGATAAATTCCATCTCCCGTCTATCCGGTTTCAGATATTAATTTTGCACGTAAATTTAGTTTTTACTTTTTATTTTACCAGGAGCTAAATAGCTCTTTTTCAGAAATGATAGCTCAACGAAGTGGCTTATCACGTGGAAATTTATGGCAGCGAAATACTCTAAAACGCATGTTTCTAAATGTAGAGGGAAAAAAACGGAGGACCCGGAGAAAAATCCACGCGTCCACGGGGAGAACATTCAAACTCCAAATATACAGGCGTCAGGGCCGGGATCGAACACATGACCTCCTATATACCAGGTGAGAGAGTTAACATCTCACCACCGTGGCGCTCACATTCAGAGCTATGAAAATCGCAATGTGGAGACAGTGTATGGACAAATGGAATAGCTCGGTATGTAATGATTCACCGCCATGCATCTTGATTCGATGAATACACAGTTGAGAGTCGTGATTCAAATAAAGAATTATTTTTTGTCTTGGTTCTCCCCCCAACCCTGCCCCTACTTGTTTTGTATTGTTTCTCAATTCTCCGCTGCACAATTCAATGCCTGTACCATGAATGCAAGAATGGATCTGAATCGACAATTACAAAAAATAACAATGTACAATGAAAACGGCATAACAATTGGAAACCAAGGTCAATCCGGTTAGACATGTTGATTTTAATCAAACCACCAAGATGTTGAGCACCGGAGCGGTGCTCATCTCCAGTCTAGTCCAATTCCACATTCCGATGAAAGGGACAAGCCTTCCCATAGGACAACCATTTTTCGATTTAAAGCTTTCGTGACTGCAGGGATTCATCTTCTTGGTTCTTTCGGTAAAGTCACGTAGAAGGGAAGTAATAAAATAATAAAAATAAAACATAATAAAACAATTCTCACGACGTTTCGGCCACAACGCAAGCAGCCGTCCTCAGGTGAAAACCATGTCCGTCGAGGCGACAGAGTCTGAATGAAACAGCACACGGGCTGCCCGTGTGCTGTTTCATTCAGACTCTGTCGCCTCGACGGACATGGTTTTCACCTGAGGACGGCTGCTTGCGTTGTGGCCGAAACGTCGTGAGAATTATTTTATTATGTTTTATTATTATTATTTTATTACTTCCCTTCTACGTGACTTTACCGAAAGAACCAAGAAGAGGACAACCATTGTTGACTTATCCGTAACGAATTACTCGTGTATTAATCCCGATGGGACGAAGGGGGAAGTCAACTCCCAAACAGAATTTGAACTCGCAACCTTCTGATTGCGATCCGCTCGCTCTACCGTTGACCGGATGACCTATAGCTAAGAGCATTTCTGTCCGGCGGAGACTCAAATTGCCCGGGGTTGTTTAGTGGCTGTGACAATTGTGCATTGCCCACGTTTTCCTCCTCCAACTTGTTGATCGTGGTCTTGGCGTCCATCAGCTTGCCCGTGAGCGCCACGATCTCCACGTTAAGGCTCGTTTTCTCTTCCTCAAATGCCTGAGCCTGAAAGCAGGAAATTTGCCGGCGAGACGTTGCACGCGGTTATAAGACTGGTGGCAGGCAGTGCTCATCCCAAGCAAAGACTGAAACCAGGTGGTGACAAGAGTTAAACGCAGCGTCGGAAATGTAATGGCAGCAGCTGACCAAGCGGGGACGATGCAGGAGCAAGGAAGCCAGGCACAGGCAGGAGCCCTCTGCTCTGACTCGCATAATTGTATGCACTCGCTGGTGAGTCAGACAGCCCTGGCACTGACCTCGTGAAAGCACAGCTGTGATGTCGCCCCCAAGCCCGCGGGTGGTTCTGTGCGAACGGCTGCAGGGATTAAGGCCACGGGACGGCAAGCCCCCCTCACCATTGCACTGTCCATGTCAGAGGAGGATTTGCGATTGAGCCTCCGAAACAAAATGGAACGTGCACTCGTGGGCAGCACGGGTCACATTGATTTTAATTTGTCTCATGTCATGCAGTCAGGTCACCAGTGCTCGCATCTTATTGTGGGTTGCCTTCCTCCCTCAAAGCCAATGCAAATGGGAATTTTTGTCCAGCGATAAATTGCGCGCACCTGCAGTACACCTCACGGGTTAATGGAGAATTTGCCGGTCACATAACGTAACTGTGAAACGTATTATTCAAGTGACAGATTCAGCCACCGATTTTCCTTGAATGACGGAGGTTCGTGAATTAGACCGATTATATTAGTCGTTGCATTTTTTTATCTCAAGCGAGGTCTTTCATCCGTCGAAAGCCAAGCGCCATGGTGAGCACCTGCTTTCTGGCTGTGCTCGTACTCCATTCAACTTAACCCACATATGCTGGAGCGTGATCGCAGCTCAGCTCATGCATGGGGGGCGGGGTGAACGTTTCACAAGTTATCAAATACGATGTCACACATGTGATGGCAGGGAGTGTGAAACATTCCCCGACAAGGTGCACACACCTCCTCCAACTTAAACCCAACCCCTACTCGCTCAAACGGAAAAGCGTGCATTTTTGTCCAAGGGAAAAAAAGGAAAAATTCCAACCATTCCCCTGAACGTTTTTGCTGCAACAGGATCCTGGTCAGCTTGCTGCATATTGCAGTAGGGAAACAAGAGTCATGGTCGTGGATTGAGTGACATTGGGCAGTCAAGGATTAACATTACCTTCCTCTCTTCGCTTTCTCTTACATAGAAAACCTCAGCGTGAGCGTGCTGCGAGTCGCTGGGAAGCTGTTCTACTCAGACAAATTGCGTCTCTGCATACGCGTTCCAGTCATGTGCCTCCCGTTACAGGCGTTACCTCCGTATATACCAGGAATAACACCCAGAGGATGTGGCCCATTTAAAAAGGAAACCAAAAGCGTCCCAGAGTGAAAGTGCAGCTTGCAGCTCGAGCGTCCAAATGTACACGCATGAGACTCCGGGCGAGCGGATAGGCGGGGGAGGGGGAGGAGGAGGGGGGGGATTGGCGGTGGAAAAGCGGGTGGGGGTGCATAGCTTGAGAAATGTGAAGTTGAACGTTAGAAAACACTCAGCTGCATTATACCACTTGTAGCAGAGAGAAGCCTGCCGAGAAGCAGAGGTGGGGAGAGAGGCAGAGACGGCACAGATTGTTCATCACCGTGGGGAACTGGATAAAAAAAGAATGGCTCTGCCATGAAGTGTACAGTGGCAGCTTTAAATAATTGATGGGTCACACCGTCCTATCGGGACACTTTACATTGGATGGCGAGGGCCCAACTGCCAAGGCAGCGACTTGCCCTGCCCTTGTTGCGCACGCAACTTTATTTGCCGTTCCCTTGTCAGTGCGTCAAGGTGGGCACACAACGAGCGGGAAGCGCCGTCTGTTGCTGCGCTGGCAGCGTGCTAACAAGAATATTTATTTTTATCATTATGAGTTGTACAATATTTATAAATGCATTTGTGAATACACCATCCGTGAAATCAGGAAATCAGTGGCACCTCCCATAAGAAACAGACATGATGAGATGCACAGATGCATGTTAAATATTAATTGCAGCATTATCAATCAATGCATGCATGAATGGTAACAATGAAGATGACGTTTCTTTTATTTGTTACTAAACTAAACAATTGTTTTTTATTTTACCAGGAAAAGCCCACTGCACTATACTGTATAGCTCTTTTTTTAAGCGACTTGGTCATAAATGATAGCTTAACAAAGAGGCGTATCACGTGGAAATGTACAGCAGCTAAAGACTCTAAACTCATGTTCTAAATGTGGAGGGAAAATCGGAGGATCCGGAGAAAAACCCACTCGACCACGGGGAGAACATGCAAACTCCAAATAGGCATCAGGGTTGGGATTGAACCCACGACCTCCTGTATACCAGGCGAGGTAGTTAACATCTCACCACTGTGACACCCCTTATAACACATGATGTCCTTTTTAGCAAGAGCCTAGTGCACGTGTGTGCATTTATACAAGTTGACGAACACGGAGAGAGAAGCTCACCAGTTTTTGCAGTTTTTCCTCCAGGTCTTGGTTAGTCTTCTGGGAGGACAAGTAACTGCTTTGCATTCTGAGAAAGACGGACAAAACACAACCCTCTTGAGGACGAGCGTGCGCTCTGTCCTCACGTGACGACGGAAGTGATTCACGCACTGCATTACGATGATGGCAACCTGAGCGCCAGCCTTGGTCACGGTACAAGTGACAATCGGAATCTAAATCTGGTCTGGGCAATCCTCAGAGGCCTCATCCCAAAATCATCCCCGGTAAGGTAGTCAGTATCATAATTGGGAGACAACAGCGGCCAGGTATGTTTTGTGCCGACTACAGCGCCTCTTCTTGCACTGAGCCCAGCTTTTGGTAGGCGGTCACTAATAGCACTTGCCCATACAAATGTGAGGCTTAAGACATTCGTTATTAGTAAAATTACCAAGTAGTTTATTTCTGTACAGCAGTTACATCAAAATAGGCAAGCCTCAATATGCGGAAAACAATGTTACGAACATTGCCTGCATTCATGCACCGATACCAATGTGTTAAACATCAGCACTGGGGAAATCTAGGTGACTGGGCATGGTGCTTACCATACCTCCCCATTGTGTGCCGCCCTGGTCTGAATAGATGCTCGCTAATAGCACTTTGTAGCGTTGTGTGATTTTGTGCACCGATCGGTGCGTGTCGCGCCCACACGCGTGCTTGTAATGCTCGTGCAACACACCTGCCGTACATATCCTGGAGGCGTCGGATCTCCTCCCATGCCTGACCCAGCTCGGCCTCCAGGCCTGGCTGTGCTGCCCGTCTGTCTGCCTCCCTCCTCGGCCCCGTCTGCTCCCCGCCAGGCCCATCCCTCGAAACTGCTGCGGTGTCGGGACTGACCCTGACGGGCAGGCCCGGATGGCCCAGCCCCGGCAAAGCGGCCCTCTCTGGGCCATGCGACTCTCCGGGCCTCCCGAGTTCGGCGCTCTGTGCGAGGTGTGGCCCGTCGCCCGGTCTCTCCGAGTGAGGCACCGGAAGGTTCACGTGCTCCTCGTGCTGTGGCCTGTGGGGGCGCGAGAGCAGCCAGGGAAGGCGGTGGGTGATGCATGCTCTCTCCTAAGAATGTCTGTCCTGCCTACGTGACGATGTGCATGCGCCGGCTGAACAAGCCTGACTCGTGAAAACAGCGCGTGCACCGCTGAACAAACATGTGGCACAGTGCGCGCGGCAAACACTTGCTGTTAGTGGAAACTGGAGGTAATTGAGTACCTGGATTTATGAGAATCTGGAAGCACCTCCTGCACAGAAAGCAACACAAAAACAATTATTGCAATGTCAAACGCTGAACAAACCCACAGTCCTGGTCAAAACACCAGCAATAGCAATAAGCGATATGGGTAAAAAAACTATTTAGTCCAATACCTTTTTGGACTGAAAGAGTTGAAAGTTCTTAGACGGGCCCAGAGTTAACGGTGGGTCCACAGAGCTTGCACCGAAAACGTTGGTACCACCTTGAAGCCACCCCCCATCCCCCCTTCCTGCAGCCTCGCAGGCTCTTGTCTGCTGCGCTCTCTTCGCATCACTGCCACGCTCCTTCCGCACCACCTCGGCGTAAATTACCTTTGGGCTTTCAACGCTACTCGCTCCCTCTGGGCGCACCGCATCAGCGGTCCCCACACCCTCCCAGCCCTGGCTGCGTCCCCCGTGCGTGTGCGCCCCTTGCTCCGCGCGGCTGCCATCCCAGCGACGCCTGTCCCTGCTTCTGCTCCTGCTGCAGCCTATGTCCTCGCTGCACTGGGAACCCGTGTCCGTGTGCGTGTCATCGTGCGGCGAGTGACGGGCGGGCTCACGCCTCGACGAACTGGCGATGGCCATGCCCTCCAGCTTATCCTTCGTAAGACCGAGCGGGGTGGCCGCACACTTCCTCCTGCCGTGCGAGCTTGTCGCTTGTGAACTGTGCGTCATTTCCTTGCCGGCGCCGTGCGCCCCGTGCCCGTCTCGCCTCTCTTGCCGATCGCTCGCCTGCGCACTTTCGTGCTTCCCGTCCCGCTCCCTCACCCCTAACGCTTTCCTCACCTCTACGACCACCTCCCTCGCAGCTCTGCGTATGCCATAGCTGTTCAGTGTCACCGGACTTAAAACTTGCGATGAGATTTCATCTACGACCGCCGAAAACTTTAGAGGCTGCAACGTCCTCGACCGTCGCATCTGCGAGCCAGCGCCGATGGACGACTTGTAGAGGACCGCGTCTGAACCAGCCATCTGCTTCTGCAGCTTGTGCAACTTTTGCTGCCGGCTGTAAAGCTTTGCCGACTTGGTATTGGCTCCCGCACTCCAATCGGACGAGCTGTCGCTGCACGTCGTAGCGCTCGAAATGTCTCTGAAGTCAGCCGACTTGGCTCTCCGGTTTGCAAGGAGCTTCCGTGCAGAGGCAAGATGCGATTCTGCCATATCCTTGCTTGAAATATGCCCCCAGCTTCGGTCTCCCGCTCGAGCTCCCTTCCGTACGGTCGCCCTGTCCTCCCCCGAAGAAGAATGCCTTTCCCACGTCGTCGTACCCTCACCGCTGTCTAACTCAGACACCACGCCCTCCCTCCCCAACAAATTACCAGTCGGCGGAACTGAACTCAGAATCTGCCCTGATACCTCTTTGATTACCTCTGACTTATATCGTGTCATGGCGGGCTCAACGAGGTGCCTGGCTCCCGGCGGGCGCGACTCGCGGTGCTCAGGAGGCGCCTTCCTGTACGGCTTGCGTGCCGCGACACCGCTATTCATAGCCATGGCCCGTCCGCTCCAGTGCTCCGGTGGCCCCCCGGTGGGTGGCAGCGTTATTCGGTGGTTCCTACCCACAGGGCACAAGCGCACTCGTAACATTAATCGCATTGAGCAATTATCCGTCCGGAATAGTGTGTGGTCGATGATAAGTTTCCCGTGACGTGCTCCCAGCCAGCCAGGCATACGCAAAATCTGCACAAAATCACTGGGCCTGCCAATAACCAGTTTCATCAAACGGTCATCGCGGTCAACAGATTTAGATTTATCCTCAAATGTGTATTCCTTTGTGAATAAAATAGAACATGCAAAGGAGATTAACTGCAGGGTATTTGCCGAACTTCTGATATAATGTGCTACTACAGGACATGAAAATAGTAGCATTTTTATTTTTTGTGAACAGCAAGCACAACTCCACAGCTTACCTTACTCTCCACTTGCGTTCAAGTCAGCAATTGCTAGAAACGCAATATTTTAATATATGCAGTGATCTTCGTAGCAAGAATAAGAAAGTAAATACCTCAGTAAAAAAAAACGTCACTCAGAGACGCCACAATGCCCGCCACCTTTACAAAAGAGCATTAAATCCCACAATCAAGAAGGCCATTCCTTCCAAGCATCTGGTTATGAGTTTGAAATTTCAACAAGCAAGTTTTGTCTAAGTTTTGGGCTGCCAGTCTAGAGTTCTGACGATGACTGGTGCACTGTGCCCTGCGCGACTGCGGTAGTATAGTCACAAATGCCCACTAATTGTGCACACGTCAAATGACCTTTAGCACAGAGACACGACTACAGATTCCACAAGTCAACTTCTCGTGAACTTTACACCCCATCTGGGCAAACCCGGGTGATTAAAATAAGGCAACCCGTGCAAGATGGCTCGGGTGGTTTCTTCCACTGCTCAATAGGTTTACAGTTTCGACCAAGGGATGAGGAACCTCAATGTCTTACAGTGTATTGGTGGAGGATGTTCTACAGGCACTGCATTTAAAGGCACTGGTTGTTTTGTAAAAAAACAAGTATGTTTGTATTCATGTGCTGACGTTCTAGTGAGCGTGAGATCGTGTGTGTTTTAGCCATCGGCTTGTCTCCCACCTTTTGTCTCATTTTCAAGTTTCTTTTTTAAAAAATCTTACTGCGAGCCAATATATTTTCTACGAGGCAAAACTTAACAGTTATTAATCACTTTTGAATGCTCCATTAATAACAGTACGCATCGTACTCAGTCCTCTTCTATACGTTCATAAATGCAACGAAACACAGTGGAACGTGACGTGCCCCCATTGCCCGTGGGTTTTTCGGGGGTTCAATTGAACTGCGAAAATCGGTGTCAGCAGTGCCCCCCCCCGACTCCCCAACAATCCAATACCCACTCTTCTCCACAGCCACGATGTGTGTGGCTTAGCCGCCAGCGGCACACAGAGGGCACAAGGCACCCCCCGGTGTAACCACGTACAATACCCAACCACCCCAGCCCTAGGTTAATGAATTCCAAATCAAGGTTTATTAACTAACATCCCCAGACATGCCCCGCAACAGCACAGCAGCACTCGCTCTAGCAGCGCAGAACTTGGCGGCGTGCAGATGATCCGATAATTACTTGCTATTTCCGCCACGTGAACCGTTACACAAGTGGCTACAACACTGTCGAGTCAAGCGCGTTGGGTTATACACTCTTATTGATACATAACTGTAATTACAGATTGCCTTTGCGAGGCAGACCTGAGAGGCACAAAGAAGATATTCATTATTGGGCCTGTGGGAATGATTCTGAGGTTGGTAGGGGCAACAGTCATTGGGGCCACACGTTGAGTATTTCAAATGGGGCTCATTAATGCCGTTGATGGGACAAATTACAAGTCTTGGCCTGTCAAATATTTGGGAAGGCAAATGCTCCCCCCTGCCCACTTTCCATTGCCCTCTGTTAATGGACAGCTCAGAGCGCATTTTCAATTGTTCTCATTTAGTTTTGTTATATTTGTATATTAAATAGATCCTAAGGACTACTATATTATTGCACGTTCTCTTGTAGATCAAGTTATGATGTTTTGCTCTAATTATCCTCTGGGTTCTCACTTGGTTGAAATAAAGGATTGTATTGGTTGGAACGATTCAGATTCGCTCACTGCTCAAGTCAAATTCCTGGTGTCTGAAAACAACTGCAGCACAGTACTAACTTTGTTACAATCATGACAACAAAGTTAGTACTGTCATGTGTGGTGTTCTTGTTAAAGCAGCCATGCAGTGTTGAGAGGGCTGAGACCCCCCTGCCCCCCTAACTACTGAAGGCTCAGCTCCCTTTGTAAATTGTAAAAAAATATATAGCAATAGACATCTGTCAAAAGACCTTCATAGCTTAGCGCTTATCGGATTTCTCCAGGTTAAATAAAGCTTTTGATTCTGATAGAGCAGTATACATGACAGATAAATCAGGCAATATATTTACTCATTGTGTTTTTGTGGCACAGTATATTTGTTTAAAGTTTGTTTAAGATCATTGTGTTTCTGTATACACCCATACCTTTAAAGAAGAATATGCTTCTACAAGATTGTTTTAAAGCATGGGATAAGATTATTCTTCACAACGTGACTATGATGATTATGATGGCTGTTTGAAGCATTGATGACTGCCCGATGAGTCTGACACGATATAAATGGAAAGTGAATTGGTTTGCGGATGACTGACAAGACCAAATCCTGGCTGCATAGCATCGCTTGCCACACTGGACGGACATGGGTGAGGTGTGGCGTTGTTGCATCTCCACCCATATTGAGCACTCGGTCTCATGCAACAACATCAACAGCAGCCATCATTCGCCATTAAGTGGTGGTGACATCACTACGGCCCTTGTGCCAGGCCAGGTGCACTTTGAGGCCAAGCGAAGTGTCGAAGGCTCGCTGCCAGGTCACGGGACAGACTCAGGTGCCATGGGTTGACCGAGAAGACTTGCAGATGCACCAGCTGTGCCCCTCACTGTGCCAACTCATGCACACCGATCACCCACCACACTGCTGCAGGTCGAGACACTTCCCGTTCTGCTTCTTCCCTCGCACGTTTCCTCTTTGGAATTGCCTCCCATTATCGTTTCCCAAGCTCTATTCAATTCCTCGGTCAATTCAATGAACGTATTCACTCATTTCGACTGTATTACAACTTCAATAGTGCTTTTCTATTTAAAGCTTTCGTGACTACAGGGATTCATCTTCTTGGTTCTTTCGGTAAAGTCACGTAGAAGAGAAATAATAAAATAATAAAAATAAAACATAATAAAATAATTTTCACGACGTTTCGGCCACAACGCAAGCAGCCGTCCTCAGGTGAAGAACAGGTCTGTTGGAAAGACAGGTCTGTCGGAAAGACAGCGTCTTCAGACCGTCTGTTCTTCACCTGAGGACGGCTGCTTGCGTTGTGGCCGAAACGTCGTGAGAATTATTTTATGTTTCATTTTTATTATTTTATTATTTCCCTTCTACGTGACTTTACCGAAAGAACCAAGAAGATTCAATAGTGCTGTTGGTTGCTGGTCGCTGTTTTTTGGCCTGTGCTCAGCAACATCCGTTTAAAACTCGAATCTTTAGTCCGGTGTTTTCTATGAAGACATTAGCATTGAATTACCACCATGAATCCCCTGCCAGTAACTGAGATACTGGCCCGACCCCAAACCCTAATAGCAGTCCACGTCACCGCTCTGGTATAATCCCACGAGCATCCTGAAACCAGTCAGTGCATTAGTCATCGCAGCGACACATTTATAGTAGTGTACAAACTACTCCACATAAACATACGACTACACTTTAGTCTTGTCGTTTATGGGGCTTTCAGACCAATGTGTTTCCCAGCAACGTTTGCTTAAAGCAGACAAACACCTTGTAGGGTCGGTTTTAACTTTTAAAAAGTATCATCAGCAGTGTCAGGCCAGTTCATGAACAAGTCCTGCTGGGTGCCAGATGTCAAGAGGCAAGCCCATATCCACCAAATGCTATTGTGTGCAGTGTAAATTTTGTAGTATATATATATAAACATTTACATTTGTATTATTGTAAAACAGAGGTTTAGTACGAGATGTGTACTGTGTCGTGATATGCCCGCATTGTAGACTTGACAGCCTGTCAATCCACTGCTGGATATGTGACCGACCATACTTCACCACGCTGATCAGGTGAAGGAGGGGGGGGGAAAGGGGGTTCATAAATCACTCGCCACTGATGTTAGCCGTGCCAAAGTATCGAACTCGGGTTACCTGCCGGGTGCACAATGCAGTGTCGTAGTGTTTGGTTCATTTTGCTAAACCAGGTGAGAGAACTTAAAACCGGGACTTTAGGAGCATCGTTTGCAAGAGTGATCCTTGGGTTCGCTCAGATTACAACAGCAAAACAAATACAGGACAGCAACCAATACAAAAACACATAGACATCTGCACAAACGCAAACTGTGTCGTGTTTTAACCACTGCGCCTTCACTCCAGGCAACATCCCTAAACTACTGCACTCTAACTCCTATAGACGACTGTATTCATCCATCACAGGCATGTAACTGCACACTGCATAACGACTGTTTATGGATCGTTTGCAAGCAAGTCATACGTGTGTGTGTACACAACTTGCTTAACTACACACAACACACACCATGTGATGTTATGTGTGTGTTAATATTTTTGATTTAAAGCTTTCGTGACTGCAGGGATTTATATTATTGGTTCTTTCGGTAAAGTCAGGTAGAAGGGAAACAATAAAATAATATAAAACAATAACAATTCTCACGACGTTTCGACTGCAACACAAGCAATCGCCATCAGGTGTGAAATCCAAAGCAAGAACATTTTCTTGATGATTGCTTGTGTTGCAGTCGAAACGTCGTGAGAATTGTTATTGTTTCATATTTATAATATTTTATTATTTCCCTTCTACGTGACTTTACCGAAAGAACCAAGTATGTGTGAGGTAATAGCTACATGCATGTGCGCACATCTGTACACGCACCAGCTGTGGACACACAAACACGCACACGAGAGCGTGGTGATGTGTACACCTGCTTCTTCCCACCATGTGCATGGGTACAGTGCATGTAGTACCGTCTGTGCCGGTGGTGGTGCTCGCTCACAGCACTTGCCCCCAATAGTCTGTTAGGCTACACGGGGGATCTTTGTCAGTGCATGCAGGATACCGCATGCATTGTGCACCTCGTGTGTGCTCTTACACTCTTAGGTGTGTGTACACATGCAGCATACACAATGTGTACACTGCATGTGTACTCTACACATACACACACAACGTGTACACTGCCTGTACTCTACACATACACAACGTGTACACTGCATGTACTCTACACATACATACATACACAACGTGTACACTGCATGTACTCGACACATACACACACACACAACGTGTACACTGCATGTACTCGACACATACACACACAACGTGTACACTGCATGTACTCTACACATGCAGCATACACAACGTGTACACTGCATGTGTACTCTACACATACACACACAACGTGTACACTGCCTGTACTCTACACATACACAACGTGTACACTGCATGTACTCGACACATACACACACACACAACGTGTACACTGCATGTACTCGACACATACACACACAACGTGTACACTGCATGTACTCTACACATGCAGCATACACAACGTGTACACTGCATGTACTCTACACATACATACACAACGTGTACACTGCCTGTACTCTACACATACACAACGTGTACACTGCATGTACTCGACACATACACACACACACAACGTGTACACTGCATGTACTCGACACATACACACACAACGTGTACACTGCATGTACTCTACACATGCAGCATACACAACGTGTACACTGCATGTACTCTACACATACATACACAACGTGTACACTGCATGTACTCTACACACACACAACGTGTACACTGCCTGTACTCTACACATGCATACACAACGTGTACACTGCGTGTACTCTACACATGCATACACAACGTGTACACTGCATATACTCTACACATACACACACAACGTGTACACTGCGTGTACTCTACAAATACACGTGTACACTGCATATACTCTACACATACATACACAACGTGTACACTGCATGTACTGTACACATACACACACAACGTGTACACTGCATGTACTCTACACATACACAACGTGTACACTGCCTGTACTCTACACATGTACACACAACGTGTACACTGCATGTACTCTACACATGCAGGTATAGTGCACTTTTGCATGGTACATGTGTGTAGTGATACCTGTAGTGTGTGTATAGGTGTGTAGTAATACACGTGTGGTGTGAAGTAGTGCTACACGTGTGGTGTGTGTGTAGGTGTGTAGTGCTACACGTGTGGTGTGAAGTAGTGCTACACGTGTGGTGTGTGTAGGTGTGTAGTGCTACACGTGTGGTGTGTAGTGCTACACGTGTGTGTAGGTGTGTAGTGATACACGTGGTGTGTGGTGGTGTGTAGTGATACACGTGTGTGTGTGTAATAGTGCTACACGTGTGGTGTGTGTAGGTGTGTAGTGCTACACGTGTGGTGTGTGGTGGTGTGTAGTGATACACGTGTGTGTGTAGGTGTGTAGTGATACACGTGTGTGTGTAGTAGTAATACACGTGTGGTGTGGTGTAGGTGTGTAGTGCTACACGTGTGGTGTGTGTGTAGGTGTGTAGTGATACACGTGGTGTGTGTATGTGTGTAGTAGTGCTACACGTGTGGTGTGTGTGTAGGTGTGTAGTGCTACACGTGGTGTGTGTATGTGTGTAGTAGTGATACACGTGTGGTGTGTGGTGGTGTGTAATAGTGCTACACGTGTGGTGTGTGTGTAGGTGTGTAATAGTGCTACACGTGTGGTGTGTAATAGTGCTACACGTGTGGTGTGTAATAGTGCTACACGTGTGGTGTGTAATAGTGCTACACGTGTGGTTGTGTAATGCTACACGTGTGGTGTGTAATAGTGCTACACGTGTGGTGTGTAATAGTGCTACACGTGTGGTGTGTAATAGTGCTACACGTGTGGTGTGTAATAGTGCTACACGTGTGGTGTGTAATAGTGCTACACGTGTGGTGTGTAATAGTGCTACACGTGTGGTGTGTAATAGTGCTACACGTGTGGTTGTGTAATAGTGCTACACGTGTGGTGTGTAATAGTGCTACACGTGTGGTGTGTAATAGTGCTACACGTGTGGTGTGTAATAGTGATACACGTGTGGTGTGTAATAGTGCTACACGTGTGGTGTGTAATAGTGCTACACGTGTGGTGTGTAATAGTGCTACACGTGGTGTGTGTATGTGTGTAGTAGTGATACACGTGTGGTGTGTGGTGGTGTGTAATAGTGCTACACGTGTGGTGTGTAATAGTGCTACACGTGTGGTGTGTGATGGTGTGTAATAGTGCTACACGTGTGGTGTGTGTGTAGGTGTGTAATAGTGCTACACGTGTGGTGTGTAATAGTGCTACACGTGTGGTGTGTAATAGTGCTACACGTGTGGTGTGTAATAGTGCTACACGTGTGGTGTGTAATAGTGCTACACGTGTGGTGTGTAATAGTGCTACACGTGTGGTGTGTAATAGTGCTACACGTGTGGTGTGTAATAGTGCTACACGTGTGGTGTGTAATAGTGCTACACGTGTGGTGTGTAATAGTGCTACACGTGTGGTGTGTAATAGTGCTACACGTGTGGTGTGTAATAGTGATACACGTGTGGTGTGTAATAGTGCTACACGTGTGGTGTGTAATAGTGCTACACGTGTGGTGTGTAATAGTGATACACGTGTGGTGTGTAATAGTGCTACACGTGTGGTGTGTAATAGTGCTACACGTGTGGTGTGTAATAGTGCTACACGTGGTGTGTGTATGTGTGTAGTAGTGATACACGTGTGGTGTGTGGTGGTGTGTAATAGTGCTACACGTGTGGTGTGTAATCGTGCTACACGTGTGGTGTGTAATAGTGCTACACGTGTGGTGTGTAATAGTGATACACGTGTGGTGTGTAATAGTGCTACACGTGTGGTGTGTGGTGGTGTAGAGGGAGTGGAGCAGTCCTCACCTTGTCCCGCGTCTCTCCCTCTCGCGGCGCCGTTCTCGTTAATCCGCGAAACAAAACTCAAAACACTCCTCACACCTCCCTCCTCACACTCCAACACTCTCTCACCCCCAACACTCTCTCACACCTCCCTCCCCACACTCTCTCTCACACCCCCAACACTCTCT